TCTAAGCAAGGTACCGTCCCTGCACACTGCTCCCTGGTGCGCCTGCTGTCCACTGCTTCACTGAGTTAATGGGTCAAATGCTGAGAGAGTAATTTCCCCACGGGCATCATTAATTTACAACCTTACCAACAAGCTTTAAAACCACATGTTGTAAGGTTTCACTGAATTTACAAGTTATTTTAGTAATAATCGCAAAATACTTCTTGCAATGTCTCTGTCAGTTAACAGTTAACAATTTCCTTTAACATTTTTTTTATACAAATCGTTTAGAAGACCAACTGTTCCTTTCCTAAAATTCATGCTATCACTTGCATTTCTAGTTTATTACTTGGTAATTTTTTTTCCACATATTTGATTTTCATCTGAAAAAGATGGTGTACTTAACTCAAGAATGGATATTTTAAATGAAAGCTCTCTGATGGCTACGTTAAATTCAACAGGTTTTTCAAGATTGGTCTTATTGGGGGTGATTGTGGCTCAAGAGTTAGCAGTTCGTCTTGTAATTGGAAGGTTACAAGACGAACTGTCGTTGTGTCCTTGGGCAAGACACGTTGTGTCCTTGGGCAAGACACTTCCCCCGGTGCCTACTGGTGGTGGTCAGAGGGCCCGGTGGCGCCTTAGTTCACACTGTTAGTGTGACTTTGTATCTTTCCTCTGCAAATTATGTTTGAGGAAAAATAACCTGTTTATATTGTCTTAAAGTATAGATTTCCTCTCAATGTATACTATCCTCCAACAGGAAATTCCTCAGCCCAGGCATATTTATCACTTTCATCACAAGGTAAGCATTCAGTGGTTTGTGTAAGGGATCAGTGGTAAGCGAGGGGACGTTGTAGCCTCAGTGTGCATTAATTTAGAAGGTCAACATCAGCTATAGTTAAGCTGCGCCTACAACTCCAAAACATCATCAAAGGTTAGATACACCTTCTCGTTCAATGTTTGTCATTATTCTTTTTTTACTATTTTCTACATTGTACATACATACTGAAGACATCAAATACATGAAACAAGATATCTGGAATTATATAGAAAAGAAAAAAATTGATAAAGAATTCTATGTCTTATGTTTTAGATTCCTCAAAGTAGCCACCCCTTGCTTTGTTGACAGCGCTACAAACTCTTAGCCTCAGCTTTATGATGTAGTCAGTATTTCTTGCCTTCTTAATGGGGTTGGGACTGTCAATTGTGGTGTTGCAGAGGTCAGGTTGGTACACAGCTGACAGCCTTTTTTGACAACTGTTAGAATTCATACTTTGGCAAGAACCAATCAGCTAAGTGAAGAGAAATGACAGTCCATCATTACATTAAGAAGTGAAGGTCAGTCAGGTCAGAGAATTGATATAACATTGAATGTGTCCTGAGTACAGTCGCAAAAACTGTCAAGGGCTACGACAAGACTGGCTCAAATGAGGACCGCTCCAGGAAAGGGAGACCAAGAGTCACCTGTGCTGCTGAGGATAAATTCATCTGAGTCACCAGCCTCAGAAATAGATCCCACACAGAGTTTCAGTAGCAGACACAACTCTAAATCTGTGCTTTTGATCTGATGGGTCCAAGTTTGAGATCGTTGGTTGAAGGTCAGGACTTCAACTAGGCCACTTCAAAGTCTTCATTTTGTTTTTCTTAAGCCATTCAGAGGTAGACTTGGTGGTATGTTTTGGACCATTGTCCTGCTGCAGAACCCAAGTGTGCATCAACTTGAGGTCAAGAACAGATGAAAATAATTCATGGTTCCATTTATGACAGCAAACCTTCCAGTTCCTGAGCCAGCAAAACTGCTCCAGAGAGTCACACTATCACCACCATTTTTTACTGTTGGTATGATGTTCCTTTTCTGAAATTCTGTGTTACTTTTATACCAGATTTTGATGACATTCCTTCCAAAAATTTAACTTTTGTCTTGTCAGTCCCCCAGAGTATTTACCCAAAAGTCTTCTGGAAAAAATGAGAAAAACAAAGTTTTTTCATCTTGCCATGCAGGCCATTTTTTAACGTTAAGAGAGGCTTGCATTCTTTGGATATTGTGTGACCTGTTGGATGAGTTATTGCTGCGCTCTTTGGGTTATTTTGGTCAGCCGGCCATTTGTGGATAATAGCTGTCACTGTCATTTGCTGGGGTCCTACAGCTGTAGAAATGATTTTATAACCATTTCTAGAATGAGAGATCTTAAGTACTTTGTTTCTCATTTGTTTCTGAATTTCCTTGGATGATGGCATAAAAAATTACAACAACATGATAATTAAACATAGACAAACTACAGTTGTGGTCAAAACTTTACGTACGCTGATCATTGGTAATGGATACCATGGAAATGTTGAGCTTCCAAATGAGTTATTTGAGGTGTTCTTTTTCAGGGTGGAATAATTGCATACTATACAATTTAATTAATTTATAAAACAAGAATTGATTGGACAAGTTTGAATTTAATTTGGATTGCCTCTGATCCACACAAGCTGAAAGTATACATACAGGATCAAAATATCCAATAATTCCCACTGATATTTGGTTAAATATCCATAAGCATGTTGTACCTTAACCAGACACTTGTGGTTGGTATCAACGCGCTTTTGGCTAGGTAAAGTTTAAATACATTATTTGGTTTCCTGGTACTGGCCTGACCATAACATATTTTCAATTGTGTTAAGGCCAGGGTTTTGGAAAGATATTCCCCTGCAACACAAGTTGATCAGTTTCATGGTTTTCTGAGGAGAGGAGGAAACTCCTTATGTCATTTTTGTGGGATATTTGTTATAACCAAATGATATTGCTTACAAAAGTGTTAAGCCCCTTACCAAAACAAACAAACAAACAAACAAACAAACAAACAAACAAACAAACAAACAAACAAACAAACAAACAAACAGGAAAAAAAAGGAAAAAGTGATTCACTGAATTTTGTTATGAAACTAGTGAGGCAAAAATTAGGCTGAGGATACAAACTATTTCTAAATCTCAGAATGTTTCAGCTACTCATCTGCAAATAACTGGCCAGTAATAATTCAGAAACAAGATGAAACCAGGAGCACTCACAGTCAGCAATCCAACTGACAATGTGTCCAGAAACTTATAGTGTCATAGTCTGGGGGGTTTTGTGTTGTTTTGAGTTGTTGAATTATTTATGTCATGTGCTCCATAACAGACAGTGTTGTTATCTGCTGTTTATTCATTTAGAAGTTCTTCAAAAATGTCAGCCCAAACTGAAGGCTAGGCTGAAGGAGAAATTCCAGTCTGTATTTGAGGGGATCGCTAAAGCAGGAAACCCAACCCTTCTGAGTCAGATCTACACAGAGCTCTACATCACAGAGGGGGGGGACTGCAGAAGTCAATGATGAACATGAGGTCAGACAGATTGAAACGGCATCCAGGATACCAGACAGACCAGAAACAACAATCGGACAAGAAGACATATTTAAAGCATCACCTGGAAGAGATAAACTAATCAGAACAGTGCTGACAATGGGAGTGTCTGGCATTGGAAAAACTGTTTTAACACAGAAATTCACTCTAGACTGGGCTGAAGACAAAGTCAACCAAGATATCCACTTCATGTTTCCTTTCACATTCAGAGAGCTGAATTTGCTGAAAAAGAAAAGTTCAGCTTGGTGGAACTTGTTCATCACTTCTTTACTGAAACCAAAGAAGCAGGAATCTTTGATGACTTCCAGGTTGTGTTCATCTTTGATGGGCTGGATGAGTGTCGACTTCCTCTGAACTTTCAAAAAACTGAAACTGTGACTGATGTCATACAGTCCACCTCAGTGGATGTGCTGCTGACAAACCTCATCAGAGGGATCCTGCTTCCCTCTGCTCATGTCTGGATAACCACAAGATCTGCAGCAGCCTATCAGATCCCTTCTAAGTGTGTTGAAAGGGTGACAGAGGTCCGAGTGTTCACTGACACACAGAAGGAGGAGTACTTCAGGAGGTGTAAAGCTTCTCTCTATTGGAATGAAATGCCCACAGTGTAAAGTGGAAACTTTCAGGTCAGATCAATCAACATTCTCATTTTCTTAACTGATAAATGTAATCAATAAGAACTGAAAAAAAATTAAGTCAACGTCATTTTCATGTTTTTGCATCTTTGTAGTACTTTAACTTCTTGAACAGCATGTAAATACTGCCTAATGTTGTCTTTTATAAATGCACCATGTATCTTTTTGTTTTTTAGTCCGAGTGGCTGTAACCTCTCACTGAGGTGCTGTGAAGCTCTGTCTGAAGTTCTCAGCTCACAGTCCTCTAGTCTGACAGAGCTGGACCTGGGTAATAACAATCTGCGGGACTCCGGAGTAACGCTTATGTGTGCTGAAGTGGAGAGTCCACACTGGAAACTGGAAACTTTGAGGTCATAATAAGTAATAAGTAGCATTAGCATAGGTAACATGGAGAGTATATAACTCGTGACAATATGTCCATGTGTTGTTTTATCTTTTCTTTATAATCTAAATGGTAGTGAACTGCCTTGCTTCTACATAAATTGCATAAATACTGCTAATTTGCTGATCATTTCACTGCACCATGTATGCCTTTTTAAAGCAGTGCTTTTGTACATTTTTTTCTAGACTGAGCATCTGCAACCTGTCAGAGACAAACTGTGAAGCTCTGTCTTCACTTCTCAGCTCAGAGGCCCCTCGCCTGAGAGAGCTTGACTTGAGTAACAATAACCTGCAGGATTCAGGAGCAAAGCTATTGTCTGTTGGATTGCAGAGTCCACATTGTACACCGGAAATTATTAGGCTAGTATTTAGAATTTTCTAACTTTATCTTCAGGTTTTTCCTGACACTAGAAAACAGAATAAACAGAAACAACAGAATTTCCATTTAAAGAGATTTTAGATTAGCCAGAAGTACAACCTCTGCTGGGCCTTCTTCTGGAAAGAGTCTATAGATGAATGGCATTCTTTCAGGAAAAAAACAAACAAACAAAAGAAAACAACTAAATATATATATATGTGTGTGTGTGTGTGTGTGTGTGTGTGTGTGTGTGTGTGTGTGTGTTTGTCTGCAGTCTGTCAGGTTGTTTGATCACAGGGGAAGGCGGTATTTCTCTGGTTTCAGCTCTCAGCTCCAACTCCTCCACTCTGAGAGAAGTGGATGCGAGCCACAATCATCCAGGTGACTTGGGAATTCTTTCAGACGGACAAAAAGATCTGGACACTCTCAGGTATGGTGAGAATATCTGATAAAGAAGGAAGTGCTTAAAACTTTTTTTAGACAGACCTCTGTATGTATCTCCCTCTGACCCTCACTAATATTAGATTAATCTCTCTATAGAAGAGGACCTTTAATATATTATTCTAGCACAAAGTCTTGAGGCAGGTGAAATGATTTAAGAAGAAAAAGATCATTCTTCGTATCATAAAATCTGACTTGCTATAGCTAATGGATGATTATGCAAATTTAGTGTCATCGTCCGGGTGAGTGCTGGGTTTTCCTGCGTGCCAGTAAATCCATCACTGGGCAGAGTCACCACACCCCTAGTTTATGGCACCTGTGTGTAATTAGCTGGCAGGCTCTTAAGACCAGCGTTCTCAAACATTCTTTGCCGGAATGTCAGCTAACCCACCTTCTCAGAGGATTGGATCTTGTTGTCAGCAAACTCTCTTCTTCCCGTCGCTGGCTTGTTTTCTATTCTCAGCGCTACTCACCTGCCTGCCTCCCTGCCCAACACTTCACAGTGAGAGTAGACGAACTGGTTTAGCCTCACCCAGACCTCTATACCCCTCCAAGCCTCACCTTCTACCCAGACAATGACTCAGAGAGAAACGCTGTAATCCTGTACCTTGTGTGCCTGCTCCGGAAAATACCAAGTATTGTGCCCAGGCTGTTTTTTTCCCAGCCAGCTAAAGAGACTATTGCCTTTGGACTTTGCTGCGGCACACGCGGTGTGATTCTTGTTTTCTTGTTTCGACAATTATTGTGGAGATTGTTCTAGCCAAGCCTCGTGTTTCATAGCTTTGTTTAAATTCACAGCATCCCTAGTAATAGTTTGTCTTCTAGTTCTTGCCAGTCACAGTGTGTATTTCGTTATAGATTCTTAGTACCTTAACATGAAGCTTTGCGTTAGTTTAGTAGGTAGTTTATATTCAGAGGTCACGTGTTTTCCCTCTCGCCCTTAGTTCACGTGTAGTGTTTTGTTTCATTCACCTCTTTCATTGCGTGCCACTTTTGAGTGCCAAATAAATTGTTAGTTTGCACTATACCTCCGAGCCTCCGTGTGGTGTCTGCATTTTGGTCCACTTACCTGTGCTTGGCTGCCCAGTCATGACATTTAGTTCATTTTTAAACTTCTTTAAAATTAACTAATTTATTATTAATACTCTCCCTATAGGAGATTTCTAAAACAATTAACTGTTTAATCAAAACCATTTATGATGCATTCTGAACCCTACAAAGCATTTTTACAGCATACCTGCTAGCATGGCTGACCAAAAATACAAAGTGGCAGCTTTACATGTGGCATACCTGCTGCTTCTATACAGGTTGGGCCATTTATATGGATACACCGTAATAAAATGGGAATGGTTGGTGATATTAAAATCCTGTTTGTGGCACATTAGTATATGTGAGGGGGCAAACTCCTCAAGATGGGTGGTGGCCATGGTGGCCAATCAGAAGTCAGCCATCTTGGATACAACTTTTGTTTTTTTAATAGGAAGAGGGCCATGTGACACATCAAACGTATTGGTAATATCACAAGAAAACCAATGGTGTGCTTGGTTCAACGTAACTTTATTCTTTCATGAGTTATTTACAAGTTTCTGACCACTTATAAAATGTGTTCAATGTGCTGCCCATTGTGTTGGATTGTCAATGCAACCCTCTTCTCCCACTCTTCAAACACTGATAGCAACACCGCAGGAGAAATGCCAGCACAGGCATCCAGTATCCGTAGTTTCAGGTGCTGCACATCTCGTATCGTCACACCATAGACAATTGCCTTCAGATGACCCCAAAGATAAAACTGGCCCACGACAACCAATCCACTTTCCAGGAAACTGTTCATCTAGGAATGCTCGGACCTGGCACCCATAATGTGGTGGTGCACCATCTTGCTGGAAAAACTCAGGGAATGTGCCACCTTCAGTGCATAAAGATCATCATCATGTAGCAATTTCAAATATCCAGTGGCCTTGAGGTTTCCATTGATGAAGAATGGACCCACTATCGTTGTACCCCATATACCACACCAAACCATCATTTTTGTTGTTCCAACAGTCTTGGAAGGATCCATCCAATGTGGGTTAGTGTCAGACCAATAGCGGTGGTTTTGTTTGTTAACTTTACCATTCACATAAAAGTTTGCCTCATCACTGAACAAGATTTTCTGTGTGAACTGTTCCAAATTTTGTTTTGCCCATTCTGCAAATTCTGTGCGCCAATCTGGGTCATTCTCGTTGAGATGCTGCAGTAGCTGGAGTTTGTAAGGGTGCCATTTGTGATTAGCTAATATCCACCGAAGGGATGTTCGACTAATGCCACCCTCCAGTGACATGCAGCGAGTGCTACGCTGTGGGCTCTTGCTGAATGAAGCTAGGACAGCCACTGATGTTTCTTCATTAGTGACAGTTTTCTTGCGTTCGCATTTTGGCAAATCCAACACAGTTTCACAAAACTTAACAAGCAGTTTGCTAACTGTAGCATGGGAGATGGGTGGTCTCGTAGGGTGTCTTGCACTGAAATCTGCTGCAATGACCCGGTTACTGCGTTCACCAGATATCAACACAATTTCGATCCGCTCCTCACGTGTTAACCTCTTTGACATGTCAATGGCTGTGAACAAAGAGAAACTTGTAAATAACTCACGAAAGAATAAAGTTTCGTTGAAACCAAACACACCATTGTTTTTCCTTTGACATTACCAATGAGTTTGATGTGTCACATAGCCCTCTTCCTATTGAAAAAAAACAAAAGTTGTATCCAAGATGGCTGACTTCTAAATGGCCACCATGGTCACCACCCATCTTGAGGAGTTTGCCCCCTCACATATACTAATGTGCCACAAACAGGATTTTAATGTCACCAACCATTCCCATTTCATTACGGTGTATCCATATAAATGGTCAAGGTCAAGGTCAAGGTAACTACAGGCCCACCCTGTACATTCCACAGTGCCAGGATTCCCAGAACATATGGCCACAGAAGTACAACAACAAAACAACACACTGGTTCAGATCCAAGAGGCTGTTCCTCCCACTCCAGGTCTCACTGTCATTGCCCACATGCACATCGAAGTCTCCCAGAAGAGCAACAGGTGGAGCACCCTCAAGTACCCCGCCAAGGGACTCCAAGAAGGCTGGGTACTCTGAACCGTCATTGGGTGCATAAACTTAGATGACAGTCAGGACCCGTTCTCCCACCCGAAGTTGCAGGACACAAACCCTTTCGTCCAATGCGTGAAATCTCAACATACAGGCAACAAGCTGATGGGATAGTAAGATACCCACTCCAGCACACTGCCTCTCACCAGGGGCATCTCCAGACCAGTCCAGCCCCTCTCTAGGAAACTTATTCCAGAGCCCAAGCCATGCCTTGAGGTGAGCCCAACTATATTTAGCCAGTACCTCTCAACCTCATGCACTAACTCAGGCTCCTTTCCAAACAGAGAAGTGAAATTCCATGACCCAATTGCTAGTCTTGGTAGCCAGGGATTGGTCTGTCAGGGCCTCCGTTCCTGGCTGCCGCCTGACACACATTGCACCTGACTAATACATGTGGCTGGTGAATGGCATGTCTGGATTATTCCCTCAAAATTGACGCAGCACTTCTCTAAATTTTATGAGTCAGGAGAGCTAAAGGATCATGATGATCATACAATATCCTTCCCACTTGAAATGTTCTTATCATAAATGCATTGTTCATTAAAATGGTGGAGCTGTGCATTAAATTATATATAATAATAATAATAATAATAATAATAAACAATTCTCCTCTCGCCCCTGCGGGCAGTCTATTCTTCAAGCTTGGGTCCTCTACCAGAGCTCTGGGAGCTTCAGGGTCCTGTGCAGTATCTTAGCTGTTCCTAGGACTCCGCTCTTCTGGACAGAGATCTCAGATCTTATTCCTGGGATCTGCTGGAGCCACTCGCCTAGCTTGGGAGTCACTGCACCTAGCACTCCGATTACCACTGGGACCACTGTATTCATGTAACTCCCTCTGCTGGGGTTACTTGTGTAGTAGAATTCCAACAGTGCCCTGTTTTCATCTGTTGCCCACCAATGCTGTCTTGTTCAAGTAGCCACCTTCTCACCAGCGGGTACTGGTTCCCCAACACCTGATGCAGACCTTGTTAATCCGGGCGATGTCCGAGCCGGTATGACTTCATATCTCTCATGTCTGCAGTAGGCTTGATTTAGCAATGGGGGGGAGGCATGCCTATGTCTAGCCTAGGCATGCAGTCTTCCTACTATGCTATCCAGCTGCTATATATATATATTTAGAATCTTGTATTTAGAATCTTGTGTGACGACAATCCCACAATGGAACAGAAAAGGCCAGGATCGGTACACTTTGACCCTATAGATTGAAGTGTATTGGTGAAAATGTTGGACTGTTCCTTTATCAGTGTCTAACAGTATGTGTATGAGAGCGATATAATGTCCATGTGTGCATGCTGATAGAGAGTGTTCTGGTCTGACCCCTCTGACCCCCAGGGTGGAGCCTGCTGGAGTCCGTTGGTTGACACCAGGTCTGAAGAAGTGTAAGTGTGTTTTTAATGTGATTTATGAAAACAAAGCAGCACACATTCAACCATCTTCACATCACTCATTCACATCTGGGATGTCAGGTGTCATCATCAAAGTGTCAATCAATGAACAGATGATGGATCAATAACTGCAGCTGGATTGTGTTTGTTCTCTCCATCAGATTCCTGTCAACTCACAATCGACACAAACACCGTAAACAGAAAACTCCAACTGTCTGACAACAACAGGAAGGTGACACATGTCGAGGAGGTTCAGTCATATCCTGATCATCCAGACAGATTTGATGGTTGGCCTCAGCTGCTGTGCAAAGATGGTCTCACTGGTCGCTGTTACTGGGAAGTCGAGTGGAGAGGAAATGTTGAGATATCAGTGAGTTACAGAGGCATCAGGGGGAGAAAAGGTGGGATTGTCTCTGTTTTTGGATTTAATTATCAGTCATGGAGTCTGAGCTGCTCTGAGGATGGTTGTCAGTTTGTCAGGCACAACAAGATTAAAACACTCATCTCCTCCTCCTCTGTCTCTAACAGAGTAGCAGTATATGTGGACTGTCCTGTTGGCACTCTGTCCTTCTACAGAGTCTCCTCTGATACTCTGATCCACCTCCACACCTTCAACACCACATTCACTGAAACTCTTTATCCTGGGTTTACAGTCTTTCCTGGTTCCTCAGTGAGTCTATGCCAAGTTTAGTTAGAACAACACTGTTGAACAGATAGTTCAGTCTTTACATGTCTGTCTCTTCCGCTCAACATGTTTTCAGATTCATGCTGATTGATTCTTGTTGATCAACCAGATGATATTTTACATCATTAAAAATGGATGATACGTTTGTTCCAGAATCAGTGTGTTGTTTTTCTGTCATTTCCCACATAAAGTTTCATAGTGAATATCAGTATGTTGTGTAGCTCAAGCTCAGCTCACTACGGCAAGCAAAAGAATTCGAAAGATACCAGCCTTTTAGGAAATCTCCAACGAGACAGACTCTCACGCTGTCTATTAAATATCATGGGCTGTTCAGTGTACCACACATATTAGTAGAGTAGCGCGTACTGTTGAATTGGTTATCATGCAGAGTTCAACTCTGTAATTCATGAGTTTGGTTACCTATTTAGTATACAATGAATTGATAACTTTTTTTAAAAATTGATTTTTATTAATTCTTTAAATGTTATTATGAGCAATATTCTTAGCATGATGTTTTCCTCTTTAGGCACAAGGGATCCAGTCAAGCGTAAAAATATAGCTTAGCACATTTTCATTTGGCTATCTGTGCCATTAAACATCAACAAAGTTACATTTTTGGAAATCAGACTTTCAAGTTTAATTGTTAATAAATGCATAAAAAAGTATAATTGTCTGCAATATGTTGGATCACAGCTGGATATATATGTTGGAATGTAGTCAGTGTAAAAATATTAAAGACATTCAGCATCTATCACGCTTCTGTCATTGATGATGAACTCTTCATTCATGGTGATTTATCGCCCTCGGCTGGTCAGAAGTTGAACTGCATGATGTCAGTTTAATGAACACCGATGGCATAAGTGTTTTTAAATCTGCTTTTTATTGTTTGGGGTTCTGCTCCACAAGTCTGAGTTTCACAATGAAATCAGTTGATGTGAGTTGGAGAAATGAGTCATTTGAATCAGTTTAACCACTCTGTCATCATCATAGACAGAATCAAGTTTGATATCAACAGTGTTGGGGAGTAACGGAATACATGTACCGCCGTTACGTATTTAAAATACAAAATATGAGTAACTGTATTCCGTTACAGTTACCGTTTAAAAAGGTGGTATTCAGAATACAGTTACTTTGTTGAAATAAATGG